AAATAAACAAAGCTCACACAGATGAATGCAGTGTCTTCCAGCTTAATTTAGATTACTACCTTTTGTGTTTTGCAATCTGTTTATTCTAGTTTGCAATACTGAGTTCTAATGAAACCTTTCTGTCTATTTTAGACAAATACCACTTGCTGTGCCATAGCACATGGATTTCAGGACCTCCTGTGAAGAGGTAGGATCAGAATGTTTTATTTTCAAATATGTTATATGAACATTAATGATCTTTTTAGTTTTCTGTACACTATCTTTTCATTCTGAAGTGCAAGGAATTAGAACATCAGATGTAACCGAGTCTGTAGATAATCCTTATATAGTAGTAGTGTGTTTTTCTAATGGATTATGTGCTTATTTACTTATCAGCGTTCATAATGAGGTAATTATCAGTGTTGAGAAAGTAAGACTGAATTAGAACATGATAATAGCCTTCTAATGTGTTAAGGGATGTTATAAAGAGGATGGTATCATCAGCAGTTCTCCATGCCTATGAAGGTAGACCAAGAAGTAATCACTTAGGGGCACATCTACACTAAGTGGAAGATGGATGCTGCTGCAGTTGGTCTTCCAGAGTTTGATTTAGCGGGTGTAGTATAGACCTGTGAGATCAAACTCAAAGGGCAAACTGGTAAAATGGTAAACGTTCATCCAGAAATAAATTTGCAAATGCTTCTGTTGACATCCGGTTTCTCTTTTGAATATTCGTGATGTAAAAATATTAGTACATTCTCACAATTGTAGCAATTCATGAGCCTCTATGTTGGGACCAATTACATCAACTTGAATAGCCTCATAAATATTTTATCATAGTAAAAATCCCAGAAGGAAAAATGGCAATCTGTAGACTAAAAAGAACAAACAAACAATAGCCTATGATAAGCAGGTGACTGCTTACAATCACTATGGGTCATAATACGGAAAGCTTTGGATTGCACACCTGAAAGTATGAGGATGTTTGTTTGTTGTTTTCAGTATATTAAGCAAAGGAGACAGGTATAGGCTCTGTTCATGAGATAAGTATTTTCTAATTAAAGTTATAGGACACCAGATGTTGTTTCATATCAATTTCTTCACTTCAGCCATGCTTGACAGCAAGTAAAGAGACTCTTATTTTGAAATTAGTCTCTGTTAGCAAAAATAAAATGAGTAACATAATTAATCTAAAATAATGCCAACCCATCAATCCAAACTAAAATTATTAGTAGCTTTAAATATTTGTTTTTTTTTCTCCTTGTCACACATATGACGAACAGGAAGGACCACTCTTCCAGATCCATACTTGGTTTTTTTCCCCTCCTCTTTCACTAACTATCATTATGAAGCTAAATTGACAGCCCTGGGCAAACAGTTTTCAGAAAACAATCTCTTCATATCTGACTTCCTCATGCTTAAAGCAAACCTATACAACACCTTCAAAAGATAAACCTGGGTGCTTACATTTATAACTTTAAAAAGTCTCTGTACATTTAAAAATGTGTAGTCCTGAGGCACCTTGTCTATACTAGGAATCTCTTTCGAAATAATAACTCCCGAAATAAAAAAATTGAAATAGCATGTCCCCACTATGAGGGAGCCACAAAATTAGCCCAATGCAGGCTCTGTTATTATGGATGCGCTACCTTGACTTAGAGACCCAGGAAGCACAGGGAGTAAGTACTTTGAATTATTCTGAAGAGTAGTTATTTTGAAATAGCAGCAGTGAAGTATCCACAGTTTGAAATAACTATTTTGAAATAAGCATTATTCCCTGAGGAAAGAGGAGTACAGATTTCAAAATAATCAGCCTGTTATTTCAAAATAACAGGCTTGACAGTGTGGTCACTCTGTTTATTATTTCAAAATAAGGCGGGTTATAAATCCCTAGTGTAGACCAGGGCTTAGAGACTAACAAAAATATATTTTTTATCATGAGCTTTTGTGGGCAACACCCCTTCATCAGATGATAAGCTGGAGAAAGGCAGTGAATGTATGGCTCATTACAACAATCTATAACTCACTAATACTCCTTTGCCTTACAACTGGAAGGGTGCTAACTCCTCACTTCTCCTTAAGTGATGTCTTAAAGTAATCAGTCTATTTGACATTATGTTCAACTGTGACATTCTGATAATCTTTCCCAGACCAGAAGAAGAGATCTGTGTAAGCTCAAAAGATTGTCAATCATCTCTCCAAGAAGAATGTCAAGATCTCTCCAAGATGACAGGATGCCTAACATAGTGAATGATAGTGGAAATTGGGTAGGTTTAGAAGTTAACATAAAAAAAAAGTTTAAAAATTACTTAGGAAAGTTAGATGTCTTCAAGTCATCAGGGCCTGATGAAATGCATCCTAGAGTACTCAAGAAGCTGATGCTGATACAGACAGTATCTGAGCCATTCTCTATCATCTTTGAACAGTCATGGAAGTTGGGAGAGATTCCAGAAGGGTTGAAAAGGGCAAATACAGTGAAGGGAAACAAGAATAACCCAGGAAACTACAGACCAGTCAGCTTTGTCAGGGAAGATAATGTAATTAGGGAATTAATTTGCAAACATCTGGAAGATAGCAGGTTGATAAGTAACAGCCAGCATGGATTTGTAAAGAACAAATCATATCAAACCAATTGGATAGCTTTCTTTGATAGGATATCAAGACTTGTGAATAATGGAGAAGCAGTGGCCGTGGTATATCTAGATTTTAGTAAGGCATTTGACATGGGCATGTATGTCCTTCTTATATAAAAAATACGGAAATACAATTTGGATGGGGCTACTATGAGGTGGGTCCATAACTGGCTGGTGGATGACCATTCTTAGAGAGTTGTTGTTAATGGTTCACAATCTTCATCAACAATTTAGATGATAACTTAGAGAGTATAATTATTAAGTTTGCAGATGATACCAAGCTAAGAGGGGTTACAAGTACTTTGGAGGAGAGAGTCATGATTCAAATTGATTTGGACAAACAAGAGGAATAGTCTGAGATAAATAGGACAAATTTAATAAGAACAAATGCAAAGTACTCCACTTAGGAAGGAACAATCAATTCCACATACACAGAATAGGAAGTGATTGTCTAGGAATGAGTACTGCTGAAAGGGATCTAGGGGTCATAGTGGACCACAACTAAATATGAGTCAAGTGTGTCACACTGTTGGAAAAAAAAAACCTAACATGATTCTGGGATGCATTAACAGAAGTGTTGTGAGCAAGACACAAGAAGTAATTCTTCGGTTCTACTCTGAACTGATTAGGCCTCAGTTGCAGTATTATGTTCAGTTCTGGGCATCACATTTCAAGGAAGAGGTGGAGGAATTGGAGAATGTCCAGAGAAGAGCAAACAAACAAACAAAAAAAAGATTAAAGGCCTAGAAAACATGAGCTATGAGGGAAGACTGAAGAATTGGGCTTGTTTAGTTTACAAAAGAGAAGACTGAGAAGAGACATGATAGCAATTTTGAGGTATCTAAAAGAGTGATACAAGGAGGAGTGTGAAAAATTGTTCTCCTTGGCCTCCGATGATATGACAAGAAGCAATAGACTTAAATTGCAGCCAGGAAACTTTAGGTTGGACATTAGGAAAGACTTCCTAGCTATGAAGATGGTTAAACACTGGAATAATTTGTGAAATCTCCATCACTGGAGATATTTTAGAGCACGTTAGACAGACACCTGTCAGGGATAATCCAGATGGTGCTGGGTCCTGCCATGAGGGCATGGGACTGGACTTGATGAACTCTGGAGGTCCCTTCCAGTTCTAGTATTTTATGATTTTAAGCCAGAAGTTGGTCCAATAAAAAAAAAATCATCCACCTTGTCTCGCTAATATCGTGGAACCAACACAGCTACAGCACCACTGCAAACAATTTTGTGTCTGGTTATGAATGTTTATTTTATCTCAAAGGTCAGTACAAGGACAAATAACTTGTTAAGCACTTGAAATAAAAACTGGCAATTAAAACACACAAAATCAAAGATTAATCATATTGAGTATTTAATGTTCCTGTTCCTCTTGGAGATGGTTCTTATTCTGGTGGACAGTTTTAACATATGTTCTGAACCAGCTGCTTCTCCTCTACTTGACCAAGCAGTGAAAGGAGATGGAGCTCTGAGAGCTGAAGTATAGGCAGGCCTTTTATAGTTCCTCATCTGCCTATTGGGGGGAGGAAGGGGCCGGAGCGGGGATGTCAAAGGTTGAACTGATACAAACTTCTGCTAAATGTTTTTTAATTCAGGAGTCCCATGGAAAAAGTGGAGGAACCAATCATCTGAGAAACATGTGGCTTATACTGAGCTCTGTAATAAAGTAAAGCTAACTTTGCTTCACAATAGGAAACTCAGGGGAATTCTCCATTGTTACAACTACAGAAGGAGTGGGAGGGCTCTAGTTCTTGGAAAATAACTATTCTGGGAAGAGACACATTAATTATAGCTACTCTAGAAGAAGACCAGGACTTTAACAGGGTTTAAGAAAGAACTAGATACATTCATGGAGGTTATGTCCATCAATACTTACTAGCCAGGAATGGTGTCCCTAACCTCCTGCAAGGAGGTCTAACAGGTAGTTCAATTTAGGGGCTTTAATTCAAAATACCGGGTCCCTGCCGCATGTAGACATGGACAGTTAGTCTGGACTTGTAAATTTCAAAAATGGCGACTGGACGGGAAGATGCAAATCAAGCATGGGATATTTACCCAGGCTTGATTTGCAACTTTGAATGCCTACAATGGCCTCCCTAGTTCGAACTAGGAGGCTAGTGTAGACATTCCCTCTGAGGTAACTGGAATTGACCGTTGTCAGAATACAGGATCCTGGGCTAGATAGACCATTTGAAATATATCCTTGATGTGTCATTAACATCTAGCAATTGCACTGCACCATTCAGTTTTTTTGTATTGGTTCCTAAAGTCTTCTCTCCATGCAAAATCTCTATCTTCCTACTGGTCCCTGTGTCTGTCTGTTGAAAATTATATTTCATGGAAGTTGTAGCAGTCTTGTCTACTAGTAGATGTAAGAGACATTTTGTCCCAGACAAAAGCAGAAATACACTAGCTTCCTTTCTCTTTAGGAGATGGCTGAGGAATTATTTTAGGGTTGGCTGGCAAGTTCTTTCTCTCTCGCTTTCTCTCTCATTCACTACTTAATGGAGTTGTCTGTTTTGTGGCTTTTGGAGAGGTAGCAACTCATTTTGTTATTGGT